GGTTGAAGTTACAGTATTAGATTTATCTTCAGATGTTGCGTTAATATCAGGTAATGGTGTACCTGGGAATTGACATTGTTCGAATTTCTGTAATAAATCATCTAGATCAAAATAATCTTTTAGAGCTTTAATTTTGAAAGCACTGTCATAGTTGATAGTTACAATACCCTTATTTACAAATCTACAATTATTTTTTGTAACAAAAAGAGTTGCTCTCTCGAAAGCTGCATTGTGACCTACAATTTGTGGTACACCAGTAATATAATTTACCATTTGTGAGAAATTTTCCAAAATGAAAGCTTCACATCTACCGTAGATTCTCTTGTGCCCTCCACTAATAACATGCTTACCAACTGGATATTCAACAACACCATCACTTGATAGTGTATCAACCATTTTTCTACAATTGATTGGGAATCCGCTCCAATTATTTTCCCATACTTTTAATTCATCTAAAACTCTTTCTTCAACAGTTTGGTTGGTACTCCTATTCCAAAATATTTGTTAGTTCAAAACTTGCTCTATTATAACAATATAGATTTGATATTTACTTTGAGTAAACAATACAATTTGAAACAATAGATAATAATAAGATAACAGATAATATAAGTTTCATTCTAGTTTTTTTGAATCCTTTGTCGATATATAAAAATGACTCAGCACTATTGTGGTCTCTAACTGAAAAATATAAAAAAAAATAAAAGTTCTTTAACAGATTTGGTCGAAAAAAATATCTTTTGAAATTTCAAATGAGTTTGGTGAATGAAAATTCACAGTGATTCAATTGAATTGGAACTTAATCAATGGTTACCATGTATACATTATTTTTGATGGTGGGTGATTTGTACATTTATTTAAGTGGTGATATTATACATTTGATATTTTTGTAAGGGTATTGTGATTTGTTTAATTGATATCTCTTTTAAGAATATTGTTTACAAATTTTATTATTTGTAAAGTGACCTGATTTATAATCAACACCACATAACCAACAGAATTGGTGTTTACACTATTATAATAAGATTTAAAATTAGTAAAATGCTTGTTATCATCTATCATAAAGAATCATTTAATACACCAACTTTTATACAAGTCATATGGTTACAACCATTGTTCTTTTCAATTAATGCTTTACACTTTGGACACGGTTTAGTGTGTAATTTTGCCCAATCTCTAAATTTGTTTTCAGATTGATCATTTTCTTTTTTCCAATCTTGATATTGTTCACAAGTGATATCAGCATGCCATTCCTCTCTACAATTGAAACAAAATGTAAATCTACATCTATCATTACCACAAACCATCATTGGATGATTAGGATCACCAATCATCGCATTACCACAACCAGGTCTTGGACAATGTCTACAATCCTTTTGTTCACCAACCCATTTCTCCAAGAGGAAATCTTCATATTTTGTGAGTATTCTCTTGTCACAACATTGCATAATTTCATTATAGGTAACTTGACGTTTACATTCTAATTTTGGGCAACGAATATCCATAACATTACCATCATTGATATTTACCTCAAAATGAGATCTAATACAATCAAAGCAATATCTATGATAACATTCATCCAGAGTATAAATTTCCTCAATCTTATAATCAGAGAGGCAAATTTCACAAGCATAGGTCTTATTTTCTAACTCCATTTGTTTTTTCTTATTCTCTTCATCAAGTATCTTCTTAAGCATTTCTTCATTTCTCTTTAACTCTAATTGTCTTTCTCTTTCCTCTTCCTGTTGTACTTGTAATATTGTTTTAATTAAATTATCATTTTCCAATGTTGATGAGTTTTCATTTTGTTGTCTAATAGATATACATATATATTTATATTAGTTGAATATAGGTCATTAAAATGATATATTTATATATAGATAACATACAATTGTTTTTCTTGTTGAAATAAAGATAAGATATATTTCATTGATTGATCTTCTTGGTCTGCCATTTTTTTCATTCTCTCTTCTTCTTCTAACTTTTCTTTTTCAATTAGTGCTAATATCTCTAATTGTTCTGGATCTAATCCAAAGTTGTTTTGTACTTTATTCTTATTATTACTATTATTATCATTATCATTATCATCATCATCAGTATCACTATCGGAATCATTAATATTATTATTATATTTTGAAGAAGTTGTTGTTGTAGTTGTGGTTGTTGTAGTAGTTGTAGTAGTAGTTGGATTTTTATTGTAATCAACAGATATTGAAATATCGATATCTTGATTATTTATATCATTTGGTTCAAGATCCATTAATACAAAATCTAATTTTGTAATACTATCATTTAAAATTGTATCATTAGTTGTAGTTGTAGTTGTAGTTGTATTATTATTATTATTATTATTGTTATTATTATTATTATTATTAATGTTAATGTTATCATTATTGTTACTTGGGTTAATAGTGGCTGAGGTTGTAGCAGTTGTATTACTATTGTTATTATTATCACTATTACTATTATTATTATTTAATGAAATTAAAATTGGGGAATCAAAATTTTGATCCACAAAAGTAGTAGTAGTGGTATTATTGCTTTGCTCTGATTGTTCATTTAAGAGGAATGCAATAATTGTATCAATATCATTGAGGTCTTGTACAGCTTTAAGTGCAGTTGATAACTCGATCTTTGGTAAAATAGAAGCAACTGCTTCAAGCCATTTGAATCTTTGTTCAAATTTAAGTAATTGTTGATGATATTGCTGTTGTTGTTGTAATAAATGTTGCTGTTGAATTTGTTGATATTGTAGTTGTTGTTGTTTATCAACTACCATATATTCCATTGATCCATTATCAACTTCAATATAAGGTTGACTAAAATTCATCTCTTTGATATAAAATAGTAAATCAAAAAATAAAAAATAAAAAAAAATTATAGCTTGATTAATTTCAGTTTCTGTGTTTTTTTCAGATTTTTTTGTAATTTTAAACTTGAAATGATGGGAAATGTGTTTATTTTTAAAAGAGATACACTGGATATAGATATTATTTTTATATTTATATATTTTATATATATTTTTTAATTATTATTTTATTTTATTTTTCAAAAATGAAAAGGTAATAGGATTCGGTTGATACCATTGTTCACAGAAATATGCAAATATCAGTTTTTTATAAACTTTTATTTTTTTTACATAAATAAATTACCACCAATAAAAAAATTAAAAAATAATTTGGTCGATCAAAATTTTAACAGATATTTTTAGATTGATTACTGTGGTTTAATGCCAGTGGTTTCCCTGAAATCGGGATCCCAATAGGATCATAAATTAATTTCTGCAATAATGTTTTTTTTCCACCTACTACAATCTTTTCTTCATCTGTATCATTTCATATACAAACGTCTTGATTATAAAAAATTTTAATCAAAGCCCCAGAGTTATTTAAATAATTCCCATTGATAATTTCAAACATCAACATTTCTCCCACATTAGCCTCATTACGATTGTTGACTATTTTATTTATATCACATATAAAAATATAAAATAATATTTTATATCTATAAATAGAAATAGTTTTATAAAACAAAAAATGGCAATGACACCAGATTCATTTACAGAAAATGATACTTATGATATATTAGTTACCATTTATCTGATTGTAAGAATAGTTTTAAGTTTTTTAATTTCCACATTATGTGGTTGGCAAACGGTATTAGAATTTAGAGTGTTAAAACAAATGAAAAGACAACTCATAAATCCAAGAACACTTACTTGGATATCTTTAACAATGTTTCCAATTTGTATGTAAATTTATAAATTGATGATATGTGATATATCTTTGTTAACAAACCTCTTAAATTTCATTTTATAGTTAGAATTTTATATTCAGCAATTATATTTAAAACCAAGAATTTTGATTTTGGATCTACTGTTGTATATTTAGGAATGTGGACAACTTTTTTTATTTTTAATATCTGGATTTGGATAAGTTGTGTTTGGTAAGTATTTCTAAATGATAGAGTGGTAGATAAATATTAACATTGCATTTAAAAAAACAAGGATGCAACTATTATATACATTCTTTATATCTAAAGAAATTAGATTAAGAAATACTGTTAAAGTTTGGTATTTTTCATGGTTTGTTTCATTTTTAGCGTTATTGTATACGATAGCCTATACAGTATTATCAAGATTTAGCTATAATTCAGCAAAAACATTTTATACAGCTGGATTTTTAATTATTATAGTTGTATTTGGTATCACTTTGATTATAAATGGTTTAATTCTCAGTAAAGAAATTAAAAAACATGAAAAGAATAGTGCAAATTCAGAGAAAATGACATCTTCTGTATCTAAAATTAGAAGATTAGCATTTACACTTCTATTTACAGTTGTTGCTGCGTTAGTTAGAGATTTGGTATTTTTATTTGTTAAATCAGGGCCATTAGATAATATAAAAACATTTTCAGCATTTTATACATTTGTATTAGAAACTGCACAAGGGGTGATTGTAATGTTTGCGCTTGCTGATAAACCAATCAACTATATAAAATTCAAGAGGGTATACAGAAGTCATACATCACAGAGTAATAGTTCAAATAATAGTTCTGGAAATGTTGTACAAAGTGGTAAAAATAATACTCTTGACGAATCCAGATATAACTCTGGAAATTCTGTAAACTCTGAATCCAATTCTATTAATATGACAAATGTAAAGATATACGAACCTGAAATTTCAGAATCAACCAATAATCTAATTGAAAATCAAAACATTGATTCTTCAACTGTAACTGTTTCAATTCAAGAAGAATCCATTTCGAATAATAATAATGTATAAATAATTTATAATAATGTATATTTTAATTAATTTTTAGGGAAATAAGGGAATCCAAAGCCGAAATCGCCTGTTTTTTAATATAAAAAAAATTTTTCATCGGCTTTGTTTGAACACCTTACACACCACCTTAACAAATTACATTTTTTTTTTCTTTGTATATTTTTATAAACATTTATATTTATATGTTTTTTGTGGAATAAGATAGAGATTGAAAAAAATATGAGTAGCTCTTCTATAAAGATTAATGATATAAATGATGTTACATTTTTAGCAAGTGGAAAGACTAAAACAATTTATCAACTGAATAAAGATGACCAATATGTTTTGATTGAATCTAATAGTTCAATTACAGCTGGTGACGGTGCTAAAAAAGATACTCTACCAAACAAGGATTTATATTCAACAACCACAACTTGCAATGTATACAAGACATTACAAATCGCAGGTGTAGAAACACATTTTGTCAGACAAGAGAGACCTAATGCATTTATTGCCAAGAGATGTGCAATGATTCCTCTAGAGGTCATTGTTAGACGTTTAGCTACTGGTTCTTATCTCAAAAGAAATCCACAAGTTGCTGAAGGTACTCGTTTTTCACCATGTCTAACTGAATTCACATTTAAAGATGACTCTCAACATGATCCATTAGTTACTGAACATGACATTTTAGAGATGAATCTAAAAATTGGTGGTATTCCAATTACAACTAAAGTACTATCTCAAATTAGACATATTGCAACTCAATCGTTTGAAGTCTTAGAAAGAGCTTGGAAATCATTAGATGTAGTTTTGGTTGATTTTAAAGTAAGCTTTTTTTTTTTAAATTCCATCTCTATTTAACATATTTTAATATATATTTATAATGCATTAATACTAGGTTGAATTTGGAGTTTCAGTTAGAGGTGAATTGATTTTAGCAGATGTTATCGATAATGATAGTTGGAGAATTTGGCCACATGGTGATAAATCACAAATGAAAGATAAACAAGTATACAGAAATACACCAATTCAATCATCATCCAATACTGAAACCAATGCAACTACCAAAGTAAATACACTAACAAATGACCAAATTTCACAAATTGAATCCAACTATAGATGGGTTGCTGATCAAACTCAAAAACTCTATGAATTTACTCAAGCAAACCCAATTCAAGTTACACCATCGGTATAATATCTTTTCCACTCATAAAAATAAATACTCATCCCTCCCCATCCCAAAAAAGCCCTCAAATATTAACATCATTCCCTTCTTCACTAATTTATAAACCCCATTTTCTTTTTAATTTAATCTATTATAATACAGAGATATTTAAATATAAATAATAATTATACAATGTCACCAAGTTCAAGTTCTGGACCAAATTCACCAATGTCTTCTCAAGTTCCTATTGGGTTGTCTAATTCCAATAGTGGTTTAGGATCTCATTTAAATAGTAGCACCAACAATACTAATCAATTTAATAGTAATAGTTCATCATCATCAATTCACTATAACCCTAGTACCTCAAATAATAATATTTGTACTACAACAGCAGCAGCAAAAAATGAAAAAGTACTAGTTGGTGTTATTATGGGTAGTCAATCAGATTGGGAAACAATGAAACATAGTACCAATACACTAACAACACTTGGAATTCCATTTGAATGTAAAATTGTTTCAGCTCATAGAACACCAGATAGATTATATGAATATGCAAAAACTGCAAAATCTAGAGGATTAAGAGTTATAATTGCAGGTGCCGGTGGTGCTGCACATTTACCTGGAATGGTTGCTGCATTAACTTCAGTACCAGTTTTTGGTGTGCCTATTCAATCTAAGGCCTTATCAGGTGTTGATAGTCTTTTATCTATTGTACAAATGCCAGCAGGTATACCAGTTGGTACTGTTGCAATTGGTGTTTCAGGTGCTGTTAATGCTGCACTGTTAGCTGCTTCTGTTTTGGCACCATATCATTCTCATATTGATAGCAATCTAGAAGCATATAGAAAGAAACAAACTGATGCTGTTAATGATTCTCCTGTTGATTTACCTTCATCTCATGATACCATTTCACATAATACCTCAAATATTTCAACTATTCTATCAGTTGGAGCAAGTCAACAAAATATTCCAGTAATTCATCAACCACAACCACAACAACCACAATCACAATTATTAAATAATCTAAACAACAACAACAACAATAATAATAATAATAATATTAATAATAATGTTGCAAGAGTTAGTTCACCACTTCCAATAACACCACCAACACCAATGTTATTAGATAAACAACCAATGTCTACATATATATTATCATCAATAAGATCATCAGGATTGGTATTACCACCAGGATCAACTATTGGTATATTAGGTGGTGGTCAATTAGCTAGAATGACTGCAATTGCAGCTGCTCAATTGGGATATAAAACACATGTATATTGTCCAGAACCAGAACCTTCTGCTGGACATGTATCAACACATGTCACAAGATCTGCATACAATAGTTATGCTGATTTGGATAGATTTGCACAAAAAGTAGATGTCATTACCTATGAGTTTGAAAATATAATGTGTGAGCCAGTTGAATATCTGTCTAGAAAAGTTGCAGTTTTCCCAGATCCAAAGATTCTAAAGACCTGTCAAGACCGTGTACTTGAGAAGACTTTTGTTCAAAGTTGTGGTATTCCAACTGCTAGATTTGAGCCTGTTGATAGTTTAGATATGCTTCGTGGTGCTATAAAAAAACTTGGTTACCCTTCCATTTTGAAATCTAATACCATGGGTTATGATGGTAAAGGTCAAGTTAAGATTGTAGAAGGTATGGATTTAGAACAAGCTTGGAAAACTGTAACTCAGAATATAACTTCTTCCATCAAGGCAATCTTGGAAGAGTATATTGAATTTGAATCTGAAGGCTCTGTAATTGTTGCTAGAGGTTTAGATACCAATTGCGAGCAAGTTACCTATCCACTGGTGCAGAATAAACACAAGAACCATATCCTTCGTCAGACTATTGCACCATCACCTCTACCTGATTACATTCACCAAGAGGCTAAAGAAATCTCTAAAAAGATTAGTAAATCTATTCATCTGGTTGGTATATTGGCAATTGAACTCTTTATTGTAAAGGATAAACAAAGTGGTAACTATAGACTACTAGTCAATGAATTAGCACCACGACCACATAATTCTGGACATTGGACTATCGAAGGTTGTGCAACCAGCCAATTTGAACAATTAGTACGTTGTATCTGTGGTCTTTCTCTTGGTTGCGTTGATTTTATGAAAAGAGTACCAGAACAAGAATACATTTCACAAAAATTACAACCAATTATTATGAATAATCTATTAGGTCAAGACGTTGATCAATGGGAGAAACAAATTCACAACAAATCCTCTCATTTGCACATTTATGCTAAAGGTGATGCAAAAGAAGGTCGTAAAATGGGTCATGTAACAATTTTACCTGGTTCAAATTAAAAAAACATAGGAAATAATTACATTAATTATTATTAATAATCCATTCATCTATATATATATATATATATTATATGCTTTTCAATTAAAAATAAAATAATTATCATCATTATCAATAATTTTGTTTACTTTGTTCTCAACTATTTACAATATTTTATTTGAAAGGTGCTATGTGGTATTATAATTCATTTTCAATGATTCTAGCATTCTTTTTTAAATTATCTACTAGCCATTTTATACCATCATCTAAACCTTTACTATTACTATTTATTGCTATTAATGATTGTAATTGAATATTAATTGATGTTTGACTATTGCTACTACTAACAATAGAAGAGTTATTATTATTACTACTGTTACTACTACTGGCAGTACTTTTTAAAATTACACTTTGAAATAATGAAGATAGAAAATCAATGGATTCGGCATTTGGTAAATCTTGTTTGTTAAAAAATAATAGTATAGGAACATCTTTTAGTTTATCGTGACCTATAATCATCTCTAATTCATCTTTTGATTCTTTAAATCTCTCTTTATCACTACTGTCTACTATATATATAACTGCATGAACATCTGCATAGTATTTATCCCAAATAGATCTAAGTTGTAATTGACCACCTAGATCCCAAAACACTAATTTTACACCTTCATATAATATTTTTCCAACTATTTTAATGTTTGTTAGTCAAATGATCATAGTACAGTAAGCACAAAAGTCTAAAACATACTATTTAAACCAACAGTCGGTATGATATTTGACGGAGATAATCCTGGAATTTTTGTATATCTTGTCTTTATTGCTTCTAATAATGTCTAATATTATTTGAATAGGGTGGAGGGTATTATTAATTATCATTGTACTAATGATGATGAAGTTTTGTGTAGCAACATACTGTTTTACCAGCACCGTCTAATCCTAAAATTAATATAAAATATTCAGACTTTTGAAACATATACTTCCATAGGCCATAAAATAAACTAAACATAGCTTGTCAACTATGACCGCCAAACTACACAGTTGTTGGTGAAAATTGAACAAAAAAAATTTTTTTAAATAATTGTACAAAAATAAACTTTCTATTTAGATATAGCCTAGTAAATGGTTTAACCTAAGGAACTCTGTAAGGATCTTATAGATACTGGTAAAATTAAAATTAATGTTTGTGATACTTGGAGATGTAAATACTCTTTCATTTTGGTACCATCCAACAGAATTTACAGTTTTTCTACCATATTGCTCATATAGTAGTCCAATCCTGGTAGGACCCTTTTTGGTTTATCAATACGTAAATATATTTAAGATCTAGATGACGCAGGAGAGGTTATAAAATCAAGAAATAAAAGTAAAATCACATGATGTTTCTCTAATGGTTTGATGGTATCTTGTCTTCATCTATTGTAAAAATCTCCAAGAGGTAGGATATACCAATGACCTGATTTTTTCTTAAAAGCAAGTTTAGATATTCTCTTACTGTGCAAAATGCAAGAAGTTCATGGGTTTGAGTGAAAATATCCGAAAACTATTTTTTTTTTTTTTCATCCATTTTCTAGACACCTACTCAACATAAAATTATAATAACATTTATTATTATTTAAGAATTTCTAAGACTTTTTGAATAATGTAAAATCTAAATTTGGTGTGGTGAGGGGTGAAACCAACCAAAAAAAAAACAAGAGACTTTTTTTTTTTTTAATTTAATTTAAAAGTTGTAATTACATAAAATTATTTGATATAATAATAATTACGGCATATGGATAACAATACTATTCACTATGGTGATCAAGAAGACTATGATGACCATGATGATAATTCAAAATTAGTTTCCGTTGATCAAGAGGAATTAGGTACTACCTCAAATAATAATATTAATAATAATAATAATAATAATATAATACTAAATAACAATGATAACCATGAGCATGATAATGATAGATCCGTATTACAAGAAATTGAAGATGCTTTAGCTTTAGTTGAAGAAGGAGGAAGTAGTAAAGATAAAAAGCATAAACATGGTCATAGTCATAGTGGAAAAGAAAAGAAATCAAAAAAAGATAAAGAACATGGACATAGTCATGGTCATAATGCGTATGACCATTCTGAACATGGTCATAGTCATAGTCATAGTGATCATAGTGATGATGAAAAACATATGCTATCGGGATCTGGCAAAAAAGGTTTCTTTAATATGGATAAAAAGAAGAAAGCTAGAGTATCTTTGTTATTGGCTTTATGTTTAACTACTATATTTATGGTTGGTGAAGTCGTTGGTGGATATCTAGCAAATTCATTAGCGATTATGACAGATGCAGCTCATTTGTTAACGGATATTGGTGCAATGTGTCTAAGTTTATTTGCCATGTGGATTGCTAATCATCCTCCAACTGGTTCAATGAGTTTTGGTTTCCATAGAGCTGAGATTCTAGGTGCACTAGTTAGTGTTCTTATGATTTGGGCATTGACTGGTGTTTTAGTTTATGAAGGTATTCAAAGAGTTATGCATCCACCGGAGGTTGTAGATGGTAAAATTATGTTTATTATCGCATGTGGTGGTTTGTTAATTAATGTAATTGATGCTATTATTCTTCATTGGGGTTCTGGTGGTCATGGTCATAGTCATGGATTAGGTGGTGGTGGTGGACATAGTCACGGTCCTTCAAAAAAAAAGAAAAGTAGTACATTTACAGATAGAGATATTGAAAATCTAGATGGTCATGAACCAAAAAGAGAAATTGAGAATATCAATGTTCACTCTGCATATATTCATGTTTTGGGTGACTGTTTACAATCTATTGGTGTAATGATTGCATCTGTTCTCATTTGGATTAAACCTAGTTGGAAGATTGCGGATCCTATAACTACATTTATATTCTCAGTCATTGTATTGTTGACTACAATCAAACTTCTCAGACAGAGTTTAGGTGTGTTAATGGAAGCTGTACCACAAGAAATTGATAGCTACCAAGTTCAATCTGATCTCTTTGATCTCGAAGGTGTCGAAGAGGTGCATGATCTACATATCTGGTCAATTACAGTTGGTAAACCAGCACTCTCAGTACATTTATCTATTCGTGAGGGTATTGATCCTGACCAAATTCTACAAAATGCCAATAGACTACTAGCTGAATATCATTCAATTACACATACGACCATTCAAATTGAGAAACCTAAAGGTGACTCACAATGTAGAGATAATAGTTGTCCACCACCTACAACTAGATCTAGAATTCTTGGTGGTCCAATTGTTCCAGAACATTAATTATTTTTAAATATATATACAGCAATCTACTTTTTCTATTTGTACAAAAAAAAAAAACTAGTATCATCATTAAATTCCATCACATGAAAACACACCTGGTAGAATTGTCAATTGTAAAAATAAACAACCACCTTTTTTTTTTGATCAATTGAAATTTCATATTTCGAACAGGAAGTAGGATTCTGAATTCCGAAACGAAGGTTTTGTTTTTTTAAAACTTATTTTAATTTACTATTTTCCTTTGACTTTTGCTAAAACATGATATTTTCTTGATATTTTCATAAATTATCTCCTATCATATTTTTTTTTTTTTTAATATTTTTCATTATCAATAGTTCTTGTTTTTGTATAACTTTTGTTTTATTTTTTTTAACAGATATATTATTGTTTCATATTGATCATTCATCGTTAGTTTACATTATATTATTTAAAATTACATATATTTAAAATATTGTATAATCATATTGTCAAGTACCAATACTTATAAACAGAACAGAAAAAAAGAGAGGAATTTATACAACAAAGAATCTAACAACGAAAAATCGAAAGAACAAAATAAATTAGATAAAGTAGAAAATGTGTGAAGAATTATTAGTTTACTTATTTGGTTATGGCAGTTTAATGTGGAGACCTGGTTTTAAATATGTTAGAAAATTCAATGCCTATATAAAGAGATACAAAAGAGTATTTTATCAAGGAAGTACAGATCATAGAGGAACTGTAGAGGCACCTGGTAGAGTGGTGACTCTTATTAAACAACCTGAAAGTAGTACACAGGATGAAAGTTTAAGTGTTGCTGCTGTTCCTGGTGGTGATAACCAAGATCAAGAGGAATGGATAACATGGGGTACTGTATATTGTGTCTCTGATGATGACGCTGTTCAAATTCTAAAGAATTTGGATTATCGTGAGAAGGGTGGCTATGAAAGACATGAATTAGAGGTATTTGTTGACGATAAACAAGAGAGTGTTGGTAGTGCTATTGTATATTTGGCAACTACTGAAAACTCTGAATATCTAGGTGAAGATTCTATAGAAAATATTGCAATGCAGATATTCAAATCGGTGGGACCTTCTGGAAGAAATATAGATTATCTTTTAAAATTGGCAAATTCTCTACATGAAATTAATGTAGTTGATGATCATGTTTTTAGTATAGAAAAAGAGGTGTTGGCACTAATGGAAAAGTATCAAATAACTGATGGTTTCATCCATAATTCAACTAGTGTAGCTACTAGTATCATTAGAAGTGGTTCTCCAGATGGAAAGAGAACTGTTACAGCTACTAGTAGTGCAACTTCAACTACAACATTTACATTAACAAATAGTAGTAGTAATAATACATCAGATATTGCATTACAACAGGTACTTGAACATAGAAAGTTCTATCAAGATCCTAAAGGTAAAGTAGTTATTGATGATGGTGCTGTCGAAGCTATCAGTCAGAGAGCTAAATCTCTCCTGCCCATAGGAATTGTTAAAGTAATTGGTGATTTTCAACCAAACGAATTAATATCAATATTTGATTCCAATTCTCAAGAAATCTCAAGAGGTATTATAAATTATAGTAGCAAAGATTTACAATTAATCATAGGAAAACAATCAAAAGAAATACCAACTATTTTATCAAAAAAAGACTTCTCCGAAACTGTGATCGATCAAAAAAATTTAATATTACTTTAGATTATATTATTTAAACAATAAAGAATTTATGTACATAGAAAGCCTTCTCATTAAAATAATAAT